TAAACTAAAGAAACGATGCAAATACGGGCATCCAGGAATCGGGTTGCCCAATGCCCAAACCGCGCAGGAAAAAAACTGGAACAAATCTCCACCCATTACTTACAATCCTGGGCTGCCAGGAGCACTGGGAGCAATGTAAAATGAACTAGAATGAAGTGAAATGTTGCTGTCAGTTCGTCCACATGCTTATAGCGAGTCTCAAGTGAAGATATTGGCAACAAGCAAAGAATGGCGCATCAAGTTCGTTTCAAAGAAGAAGGCCATTTGAACTTCTCATGCAGGATGTAAACGGTTTTTGTTCCTTATAATTTATAATGATGAAAGGCCTTTTTTGGGGGGGCAATTGGAGAAACTCAGGAAAGCAAAGCAGGATTGGAATGATCCGATGCGAAAGTTCGAGGAAGATCAGGTGAGCCAACTGCCATCATTTGCGGTTTTTGCCCTCAGCCGTTCTGATGTGAAAGGATCATTTCTATTGCTGTGACATGCTGTGACTATGATCGTCATCTACCATCGTGTAAATTTGGGCATGGGACATACCATTTACATCCATGTACATCCATTTACGATCATTGGATCCATGACCTATTTGCGACCGTTTATATCCGTTTATCATGTGTGACCACCTCATCGAGTTCATTTGAGTGTTAATTTCTATATCTTCGGGAAAGTAGTCCTCAAAAGACATGCCTCAACCATAAGATTCATAAGATTCGCTGCTTCGTCAGGTGACTGCCCCGGGGCTCCAAAAGACGAAGGCCGTGGAAAGGCCGAAGTGCCCACATCCGCCGTGGCAGAATCGATACGACACCTGGCCGCCCTGGGTCATATTTATATAAGATAATGTGCGGATATCCGGTGATATCAGTATGATAATTCATGTCAATGTGAAATAAATACCCAGGAATTGTTTGAAATAAAGACTTGACTTGATTTGTGAGGCACTACTGTAATTAGAACTGATATGATCACAGATTGAATGTATGTTTGCTAGCGCGCCATTACACGTTGGTTCAGATAGCTCAAACGGAGTCTATATTTCAGAATCGATTATATAACCCGATATGAGTGGTTCTGCAGCATGCAGACATTCCAGGGTTTGCTTGCTCGGAAGCTGTCTTGCTCACTGACTCAGAGGAATTCATTGGTAGATCCGTGGGCCCCTGGCCGATGCGAATCTTAAAGTCATTACTGACATTATTGTGTATGCGGTTTCCTTACAGGCCTCAGCATCAAGTCAGCCCTGTTTTCATAGGATATAGTCATATAGTAAGCCATTCTGCACATTCCTACCCTCGTAAGTTCTGCCTTTCTGGGAGCGTTATGATTTTAAAATGTTAAAAAAAATTGCCCACCCATGTCTCGAAAATGAAACTTTGCCTAGGGGGAGGGAGTTCGGAAAATATAAATTGCGATGGGCTGAGCGTGCGTAAAATGATGCAAAATGTAGTTTTCAACCAGCCCAGCCCCAAAAGATATCCAAAAGTATATAAGTCGAAACGCGGCGCGTGTGATTCTAGATGTTTGCTCCCCTGCCACCCACTAGTTTCCCAGGCAATTTGAGGAAGAAAAAGACCGATCCCAATCGGTTTGTGACCAAAACCACATGCCAGCCACCCAGGAAATGCAAGTTGGACCCTCCATATATAATTTAAACCTCCAGACATTTGTCCCTTGCATTATTCTGGGCTTTCAACCAAAAAATGTAGTGAAAACAAATCCCGCTTACCGTATACCCAGGAAATTGTAGCATATTGTAACTTGCAGGCTTTTGCCCATATCGACTTGGCTAATCGTAGCATACATGTTTTGCAATGCCCGTGCGAAGGGTGTGGGGATCATTCAATTGCACTAGGAATTGTTTAGACTACATTTCCCTGGTGAAATGGATTACTTGGTGGTTCCTTTCTTGTTACACAAGTTGCAACTTAGTTGCGACACTTGTCGTGGTTCGAGAAGTTGCAAGTGAAGTTAGTAAAGTTATGGTTTAATTGTAATTTAATGTTAGCCCTTAAATTCCTTAAGTCTAACTGACTGAACTTATAACTTCTTTAAGTTGTTTTGAAGCTAGAAAACTATAAGAAAAAACTTATTTTATTTTTTACCACAAAGGCTGGCGTGAAGAGAGATCAATTTGCTTGGTTTTGATGCTTTTCTCTAGAATGTTTTGTTATAGCTGAAGAAAATTTTGCGGCCCGATGGGCCGCAGTAATGGTACTTCTCTATAGATGGGAAGTGGCTGCTCATTGGGCCGCCTTGAAACTAATCCCAAGGCTTGAAACTAATCATTGAACATTTCATTGAAACCAGACCTCAGTGAACTGAACTTTAAATAATTTACGGTACCATTGACAATTAGCTGGACTGCTCAGTGAGCCGCCTTCGAATCTAAGATTTTTGAGTCTGAAGATTCAACTTTGAAAAAGTATAAAGTGAAGTGGCTTTGCAATGATAGTGCTGTGATGCAGCGGATATGCAATAACAAATTTAATTTTGACAGATTTGGAAAGCTTTTCGCTCTGCATAGCGCAGTACGATTCGAAAGATCAACAGAAAAATATTCATAAAAGGTGAAAAATGTTACACACAGTTATACATTATTAAACATTTTTATACATTTTGCTGTTCGAGTTATACATGTATAACTTCGTTTCTGTTTGAGTTATACATGTATAACTTCATTTTGCTGTTTGAGTTGTACATGTATAACTTCATTTCTGTTTGAGTCATACATGTATAACTCGAACCCCGTTTTAGTTATACATGCTTATACATTCTTATACATTTGGTTTTTTATATCGTTTATAGATGCATTTAGTGCGGACTTGTTGTGATAATCAGGTACATGTGAAACGAGTTGATTTACATTCACAGCTTTGTCATTTTTTGAAGGTATGTTCGAACTTGTGATTGGAAAATGTTGGGCTTGTGATTTGAACTTGGCTTGAAACATTTGTTAAGCCGACATCTATCACGCAAACATTGCTGCATTTTCCCAGCATCGACAACGACATCAAAACTGACTTCACCGTTTGATGTAGTCCAAGTCAACATCTCACTTCTGTTTCTTGTTCTTCTTTTTCGGAGTTTTCTTGTCCATGGTTTGGTCCATGGTTTGGTCGGTCTGCTGGGTGTCAGGGGCAGCATCCTCGAAACAAAAAACCAAATTCGCAATGTTTTGCGAGTTCCAAAAAATCGCATTCTAGTAGCAGCATATAACATCTCTCCACGCCAAGCCATTAAAGAAGAGAATAGAAAAATAAAACAAGTATGGTTTTTTAACATTGAAAAAGTTAACTTCCCCAAGTTACTTGTAAGTTCTTTTTCGGTTATTTTGTAACATCAGTGTAAAAACTTAGCAGAACTTAGCAACTTCTTCACGTCCAATAACATACATATAACTCATCCAAATTCAGCTCCCGAACTTACAAAACTTACGACATTTACAAGGCTGTTATGCCCAACTTGTAACCCAGCTGCAAGTTACATGCAAGTTCCATTAGCAGAAAGGAACCACCAAGTATGGTTTATTGGCTTGGGGGTTCCACAAGAGCATGCATGGATGGATGCCTCTTTTTGGTGTGACCTTCTGAGGAGATCAAACCTGGGTACAGATGGGATGGAAAAGTTCGTGGCAATGGCTTTGAACAAGACTACTTCCACACTAAGAACCAGAGGTGCCGCATGCCTGCTGTGGTGAATCTGGATGACTCACAAGACCGTTAATTACACTAGAGGAATCTCGAAGACATTAAAAGATGATTAGACGGTCAGACAGGGCATCCAAAAATCACCTTGTCTCAGGTTGAATCATTGTCATTACATAGTTATCGCTATGATCCTGATTTAATCGTGAATCATTAAATTATGTAATTATATGTCATTATTCATTTCAGGTTGGTGAGGAGGGAAAGGATCGTATTCAGCCGGACCAATGTGGAAAGCCCTGGTGTGCAGGGAGTTCGAGAGAGCAGAGGCATGGCGGCGCGAGACGGCTCATGATCAGAACTGAGACGCTGAAAGTCGCGAAGCCATGCAGAAAAGTTTCGGTTTCGGGCGGTGGCGATAGAGGTGTCAGCATGTTATGTTATAATGTTATATATCTGGTGATCGGTGGGTAAATCTTGGTTGATATTTACAGTATACAGCCAGCAATTCTTTTTGGCCATAGGGTAGCGACAAACCAGCCAAGATTTGAGTTTTTCCATTTTTTCCCGGGTTGTGTATGTTCATTTGCTTCCTATGGTCAAAGGTAGTTTAGTTAGCAAACTTCCGAGTTGCGTGCGATTGTTACAGTTAGCATTCTCACCATCATGTCAACCACATCATCATGTCAACCACCCATTGTCAAGCCGTTGGGAAGTGTAACAGTTCAGGGACGTGTGAATTCACGGGTGAAAACACTCTCGGGCGCGAAACCCTCTGATTTTTCGGGTAAAGTGGCTTCTGGGGTTGCCGCAGTAGGGTCTCTGTTTCCGTGGGTGCAGGACTCCATCTGGGAAAGTTATCGACAAAAAGAGCAAAGGACTGTTGCGAGAGCACGATTTGCTGTTCAAAATCTTAGAAACTGACAGTCTCGGAGCGCTTTTGGAAGATGAGGTCGGCAGAAAGTGCGCAGGACTGCAGCGAGAGCTCGGTTTCACATAAAAATCGTTAAACACTGTGAGGGGGTCGGAGCGGCCAAAAAAAAGTCCGCGCTGTTGACGGTGCAGCTGGAGGTTGCTAAACGCAGCGCAACAGCGGCGCGAAGAGAAGAATTGGGTTGCAGAAGCTACAGAAGAGCTAGGTGGGAGAGTAGAAGTACCCCAGATAAGCGGCTGCTCAGACAAGAAGTAGCTGAGAGAAGGGGCGCCTCAGCAAAGAGGTCGCTCAGTCCATCCGTCCATCCATCCATGCATCCACCCATCCTTCAATTCATTCATTTGTTCATGTGCTAATTCATTGAATCATTGGTTCACTGATTCATTGGTTCATTGATGGGCCGACTCACTGATTTGTTAATTCACTGATATTTCATTGATTCATTAAGTCACTGCGTGATTCATGCACTGCTTTCATTGATCATTCATTCATTCGTTCGTTCCGAAGTTCGTTCATTCGTTCGTTCATTCATTCGTTCGTTCGTTCGTTCGTTCATTCTTTCATTCATAATTCAATTCATTCCTTCATTCATTCATGTCATTCATTCATGCAATTCATTCATTCATCATCATTCATTCATCATTCATTCATTCGTTCTTCGTTCGTTCATTCGTTCGTTCATTCATTCGTTCGTTCGTTCGTTCGTTCATTCTTTCATTCATGCATTCATGCGAATGCATTCATTCATTCATTCATTCATTCATTGCTTCGTTGCTTCGTTGCTTCATTGATCTTCGTTGCTTCATTGATTCGCTGCTTTCTTGATTTGTTGATTGAGTGGTTCATCGCGTGATTCATTGATTCATTGCTTCGTTCTCTCATCGATTACGGAGTCATCGATTCATTGTTTCATCGGTTCGTTGGTTCATGATTCATTCAGTTTGTTGTGCGTGGATTCATGTCCTTCGTTGTGGCATCTCGACAACAATTTGCTCATGCGTTGGTGCACCTCACTTGCTTCTGCGTTTCAGGGGCTTTCCTATGGGCCATCTTCGTCCTATAGCGTTTTTTTTCGAAATTTCCGCTCCGGTGCGGGCCGGGCCCTACTGGTATCACACTATCACTCTTTGCTTTTGGGAACTCGGCAGCGCGTTGTGGCGTATTTTTCCCCAACTCAAGTGGCTGGAAAGGTAGGAGTGACAGTGGCCTTTGGTCCCAATGGGCTGGGGTAGTGAGTGGAGGTGGGTTTTGACAACACAGTTGACATGGAATATGAGTGCGAATCCAGGCTATTGTTTGCAACCCACTTCTTTGGTCCATGGTGTTTTTTGTTTTTGATTTGAGGATGTGTCCACATACTTGCCAATCATGCCTTCCGAAGGACACACGCGAGATTCCATCTTGAGTGTATGATTCAAGTCTTTTCTTCGGCAGATGGAACATTGGAAGGGTAAGTTTCACACATACAATACAACATGGCAGCTGTCGGAAACAGTTGTCTACATGTGCATGTTGTTTTTCCATGTTTTTCCATTGTTCAACATTAGCACCCCTCGATGTTGACACAACCATGATTTGTGTTTCTCGTATCATTGGCATTGGTATTTTTCTTACGAAATTACGACGACCCCACCACGCGGTTCCCTGAATGACGATCAGTAAATGAAACAATCATCCAATTTCAGGTTGACGAATTGGTATGATTTGAGTGTCTGAAAAAGGCGCACCCCGGAAAAGGCACTGATATTGATGATTGAACATCAAATCTAGCGGCACCCTGCTTTCACACAACCAATATATAGCCGGATCTTGTCCTACAGTTCTTGACAGGCCCATCCTGTGCTTGACAGCCATCTTCCGGCCGGCAGGCGCGGGGGACTTGAAAGATTGATGGTGGGAATACCCTGATTTCGTCAAACATGGCCATGGTCCCAAGGTGTTCATCCAATTCTTGTGATTAGCGACAAACATGTAGAGACGAGTCTATGATCTATGATGCATAGTTGTTTCTCACTTTGTATTCACTTTGCTTATCATTGTTTATCCATGTTTACCCAATTTGTTCGTCCAGAACATAATCCAGTTCCGTAACGTGACATCTTTGGCTTGGCTAGGTGCAACGACTCGGCCAATCGAAACAGAGGTTGTTGCCGGCATGAGCTGTGAAATTCATGAAATCACGCCAGATGCAACTGGATGTGCAACCACTTATTGTAATCTTATTGGATGTATAAAATTTAACTTGGTTACAAGAAGTTGTATCCACGCTTACGCACCAACGCACCATTGATTACTAGGCTACCGGTTACTAGGGTGCACATCCAAGTGTACATATATTTGCTCGGCTGCCGCGGCTGCACTGTGCTCTGGAGATTGATGCCGATGCTATCGGACTGCGTATATTGATCTCCCTCAAGATGAAGATACTGTCTTACAGGGCCAGGTGTGAAGCATCAATTCGTTCTTTGATCTTCCATTCCTTCAGTGTGGGGAAAGCAGATGTCAAGATTGATAAATGAGCCGCGTTTTAAACCTCCGTGTCTATGTTTAGTATTGGGATCCTTGTAAGGACCTGTGGCGTAAGCAAAACACTGGTGGGCATAAGCCTGCGTAAACATTTTTTACCAATGTTGCTGTCGTAAGGATGGCGTAAGCTCATAATCAACGGCTTTAAGATGAGGTTTTAAGTAGTGGTATGTATGATGATTCCTAATATGACATGACCGGACGGGTTTTTGATTTTCCTGGAGCCACGGTAGCCGGTAGCCCTCCTGTCTTTCAATTCAACACACCTGCATGGGATTGGTATCAATTTCAGGTTGCCTGGCATTATAGAGTATGGATGGTTTTCCCCATTTCTATCAATATGGAATGCCTTTTCTTGAAGGAACATTGGTTATCTTCAGTGGGTGTTTTGCGCAGTTGTTTCCTGACATCCGCGTAAGGACCGCGTAAGCGTCGCGTAAGCTGCGCGTAAGCCGAAGGTGCTTTTGCCAGTAGTTGCCCATGCCGCCCAAAGAGAGGCTCTCCAGTTATGCCCGTGCTCTCAGCAAGGGTGCTGTCAAAAAACGTCGTCAGCTTCGTGCTCTGCGAGCTTCTGCTGGTGGTACTTCTTCATCATCTTCTTCCTCTTCTTCCACGTCTTCATCGTCCACTGCTTGATTTTGCCAATCACTACTTCGATTCTTGCATGTAAAAGTTGCTGCGCGTAAGCCCAAGCTGTGGTGACGTGCTAAAATTTGTCAGCGTAAGGTCTGCGTAAGGTACTATAACGTGCGTAAGTAAAACTTGCGCACGCGTAAGCAAAACGTAAGCAGCAGCGTAAGCTTTTCCTTGTTTGGTGCCGCCATGCAAGACATTTAAAACACAGCTCAAATGGCTCAAGGATTTGTAGCACATGACCATGACATTCAAGTAATCAGCTCAGAATGGACAATTGGGCGGAGCTTGCACACAATGGGCGGAAACAAAACGATCTTGACAGAACCTGGTATTGAATGGTTTTGATGGATTTTCTGTGGTCCTTCGTCTTCATTGACTTATCAAGATGGATCTGGTCTTTTATCCTGGGAACCTGCGATTGTCTGTCAGCATTGCAAATCTTCGGGAACCCTAAATGAATGCGTGCCCCGGCTCTCCACCACCTATATTGACCTTGGATTACTTCACAACTAGCCTAACTAGCCTCCTGTGTGGCCATAACCCAACAGTCAACTCGGAAATCTGCAGACTATATTTGTTACTTTAGTGCAACTGACATGGGCGGAACTGCCCCGGAAATGGGCGGAACGCACCAGATCACAAATTTCCTTGGTTTAAGTCCAGGACTTTCAGGTGATTGGTGCAAGTGACTTTATATTCTTGGGGCCCGCTCCTTTTGTGAGAGGTGCTCACCACATCTCGCCTTCCTTTTTGTACCAATCCAGGGGGTTCATGGCGTTTCATGGCTTGTCATGCAAGAGGTACATGCCTTATTGTTTTGGTCTTGGAAGGAAATGCTATCTTGTGAGGCAAAACTAGGGGATCTTGTTTTTTCATTCTTTTCGATGCTTCATTCTTTTCGATGCTTTGTTTGACCAGGGCCAGCCCCGATGTCGTCCATTTTGAAGAAACTTGTCCAAATTAAATTGGAAAGGTGGTAGCATTTTTAGGATTGTTTTGATCACATCCATGTTGTCAAAAAAACATGTCCCTTGTGGATTATCATATAAGGAAATGCAGTCGCAGGATTCGATGAACTTCAATCCCAGAGCCCCGAGGCATCCCGAGGCCATATTGGTTAATTCTATCTGGGAAGGTTCATGGCAAAAGTTGCCAGAAATTCATGCAGGTTCTGCATGATACGCCAGCCCATCCTATCAGCCCATGGGGACAGTTGGTGAAAGTGCCATGGGCTTTACAGCCTTTGATTGAAGCTTGGTCTACCAAGAACAGAATTGTTTCTGCTAAATGTGGGTGAAAAACGGTCCATTCTCAAAGAAGACATCCGGAATATTCTGGAATAGTTCGTGTATTGTGTTCAATGAATACGTTGATGCAACCTAGGCTGCATACTGGAATGACTGCGCGGCATGTTTTTTAGCAGAAGCTGCTTGAAGAGTGGACCGTGGGTGTGGGGTCGGCTGATTGCAAAGTCACCGTATCTCAGCATATATACCTGGGTGGTTCCATTTCAGGCGTTGACATTGTGTATATTTGCGTGCAACGTCAGGCACGTATTTCTTGACGTTATCTATATGGCGTTTTTTATCAGCATGATCTGTGAATACGTGCGTCCATAAATGTAAATATTTACAAGATTACAAGTGTGAATAGGCACACACGCACATATATATGAGTCCCGACTCCGGATCCCTGGCACCCCCCCAATGGTATGGTCCCCCAAGCTCACGCTCTCAGGAACACGGGACACGGGACCATATATACATACATACATACATGCATGCATGCATGCATGCATGCATACGTACGTACATACATACATACATACATTACATACCTTACATACGTTACATACGTTACATACGTTTCATACGTTTCATACGTTACATACATACATAGTTACATACATACATACTTCTACGTTTCATACGTTTTCATACGTTACATACATACATAGTTACATCATGATACATACATCCATACATCCATACCTACATACACCTAACACATACATACTACTACATACATACATAGTTACATACATACATACATACATACATACACAGACATACATACACACAGACATACACACACATACACACAGACATACATACCTATCTACCTACCTACCTACCTACATACCTACATACCTACATACCTACATACCTACGTACCTGCGTACCTACGTACCTACGTACACACGTACATACATGCATGCATGCATGGATGCATGCATACATACATGCCTACATACATACATACCAACATACATACCAACATACACACCAACATACATACCAACATACATACCTACCTACATACCAACATACCAACATACCAACACACCACCACCACAGGCCACAGGGGGGGGGGGAACAGAAGAACCATACCACCACCACAGGCCACAGGAGGGGGGCGGAACCAGAAGAACCTCCACCATCCCAGGCCACAGGGGGGGGGGGACCATGGGTGGGGGGGGGGCTTGGGGGTCCTGGGACATATAATATATATATATATATATTATGACATACAGATTTACATGAATACAATATATCTACCATTGGTTATCTGTAAGTGCCTAATTTTAATCCATCAGCCACCCATGTACTTCTGCCACAATCTGGTGCAAGGCAACTCCCTTGCTGTTTTCATTTCATTCTGGGTTACGCTCCAGAAGGGTCGTAGCATGTTGTATGGACACATGGCATGCACGTAATGTCTTGATACCAGGGTGGCTCTGTACAGACATTGGTTGGCAAAAACTTTGCCACCAGTTGTATGACTTGACCCGCTCTGGCCCAGCTGGAAGTGAAATGGCTCATTTCACTTCGAGGTTGGACTGGAGACTTTGGCGGCTGCTGGTTACTTTCAGCTGTTGCTATACTTGCAGCAATGTCATCGGCATAAAAGACCGTCAAAAAGAATACGAAAGGCTTGAAGCTCCTATGTCCTCTGGCGCCAACCCTTCGCCCTGCAGAAGGATGACAAGCCAAATCTGATCTGAGGCCGGAAAGGTCCGCCCACCACCACCAAACACATGACACATCAAGCCTAGAAGCGAGTACTGTAGTTGCTCTACGCAGGTTGCTCTACATGTCACGCCGAGATTTACAACCTGCCAAATTGGCCGGACATGGGTTTTGGATGGATTGCTGGGTTCCAACCAGCTTGAGCCCCAATGTACTTTGTTGTCCCCAGGTGCTCAAAGGAGGCAATGCAGACACCAAATCACTTGCAGGAAACAGCAAACACATCATATAGCAAGTGTGACTTGCACAGCACATCATGAATCATGGATCATTTTGGCACCACAGGAAGCTTCCAAACAGAAAACATCATCAAGTTTTGACTCTTCGATGAGTGATTCCGTCACAGTACTTCTGTGATTTCATGGGAATTAGACAGAATTAGACTGTATACAGCTGCTGGCCTCCCTCTCGGGCAACAACGTTGATTTCTGTCAACTGACGCCGACCGGTGCGAGATTGCTTCTGAGTCCATGGCGGGTGCAAGCCGCGACCATGTACGCCCAACCCAGGGGACCATTTTCACAATCATCTCATATCATCTCCATTCCCTGTTCTGTGACATTATGGGGCTGCGACTTGATAGCCCCTTCTGAGGAATCCGGTTTTGGTTTATTCTCAGATAGAGCCAAGTGATCAAGTTCAAATCAGCATTCTCTGATTTGTTCGCTTAACATCCTAGGTGCACATGGTTTGGGCAGTCTGGCCCTCAACAGAGTTGCCAGCAATTGCTGCCCTAGCTGCTTTTCGGCATTTATATAATATATATTATAAAGAAAAAACAGACTGAACATATCCAAAGATGGAAAGGGTAGCGTTAGAACAGTCTCTGCAGTCTCTTTTGGATTCTGTGGGTATTCAATTTGGGCCCTTGTGGTGACGATCGTGGCGATCGTTGTTCTAACCATCGCTCCACCAAGAACTCCTCAGAAGGATCGTCCAGCCAATCTGAAACTCCACAGAGTGTGGACCTCAGTGATCCAATACCAACAAGGATAGTTACCACATATCCTGTATAGTGTGTATATATATTATATAATTAGCATTGTTGTATATATATATATGTGTGTGTATACAAAAGGCATTTTTTGCTATAGATGTTATACTTGTTTTGTTTGTTCTTATCATATTTCTATACGAATGGAATTGGTTGGCAATTGGTTCTATTTTTATTTTTTTGTGTTGTTTTCCAGTCTGGCTTCTTGGCTCTTCTGGATTTTGTGACTTTATTTTCTCGGCTTCCTGTTTTTTTTTCCTTTTGTTGTTGTTGGCTTTTTTGTGTTTTTTTGCTGTTGTGGTTTCTTGGCAGTAGCCTGCAACTATTGTGCAGACAATAAGTAAAGTAAAACATCAATTGGACAAATAAAAGGACAAGGACCGTGCTTTTTCAAAGGGAACACTTTGATAACATCCAACAACTATTTGCACCCAACACAGTTGGGCCTCAACCTACATTCTAATGTTCACAAGGTGTATAGTATGCATTGTAAAAAACTGAGTGCCATATTCAACCTGCAGCATTACATCTTTTAGAATGGGTATTGTCATTTTGCTCTGCGGAGGTGGCCCCTAAATCCAACCCCAAACCAACCTATTTCGTAAATTGTAAAACAACAATATGATAATATTATGATAATATCATACTTGATATATCTTGATATCATTCATCCAATGAACAAATTTCAACATATTTCCATTCAACACCGTTGTGCCTCAACCACCCCTAACCTATATTCTACATGTTCACAAGGTGCATATTGTGCATTGTATAGACCCCAAGTACCATATCAATTTTCGATGCGCCGCATTACATGTGAGAATAGGTATTTTCATTCTGCTTTGGGGAGGAGGCGCTGCGCCCTAACCCGCCCGCAATTCACCCCTTCCGTTTTCTTATTTAAATCCGAGCTTGCACACTTGTAAACACACTATGTTACACAATGTGCATATATGATTCAGGTTCATAGATTCATATATTTATACATTGTATCCGCAAATAAAACCCTAAACAAAATTTACGTGGACCTTAAGCCAACTGTAAATAAATGTTAAACCACACCAAAATTGGACCCCAAACCAGTCAACCCTAAATGACCCCAATACCGGTCCCAAACAAAGCTCAAACTCCGAAACCAACCCTTAATAAACCCAAAACAAATTTTAAATAAACCCCAAACAACCCTTTGAATAAGGTCTAAACCAACCCTTAATAACCCCCAAACCAACCCTAAATAAGCACTAAACCGACCCAAAAGAAATCCTACACATTGCCAACGCACTGCTGCTATTGTGGTATCAACAGAGTATAAAAACAATTGTTCAAATCACAATGAGAACAGGTCTTATTTTTCAACATGTAGCAAATTACCATGTAGCAAATTACCATGCACGTTTCAGATTGTTACGCTACAATGTTTCGAACACCATGCGAATAAGAGATGCCAGCTTACGGTGAACATGACGCAAACAATGTTGTGCAAATGCATCCAACTGCTGGCTCCAAGATGCTGCGAATTCTCTGCCAACAGGAGATCCAAGGTTCAAAAGGTTGCAATACCAGACAAATGAGCGATTTTAGTTCCAAAATGTTGCAATTAGTATGCAAATGAGAAATTTAAACTCCAATTTTAGCCCTAACATGCAGCAAATAGCAAGGAAAGGTTAAGGTGCCCCAGACTGAAAAAAACAACATCCAGGAAACTAAAAACATACTAACTACAAAACAAATCTGCACCCATCTCTCTCTCTAAAATTATATTAATATATATATATATATATACATATACATACTATAATCATATAATATGTTTAACACCCTTTGATATTGTGGAGCAGGGATGCAAGGGGGGAGATTGACTTCAAGAGCGTTGGATTGGATGAGTCTCGTTTCCGGGTTTTAGATGGTGGTGACTTGTTGTTTCCCTTCGATTCCAAGGCGGAATAGGAAGTTCGGGTTGATGTGAATGTATCCCACTGGTTTCAAAGAGCAAATGCATGATGTTTGCTTGCTAGATAGAACATGGTATATCTTGCAATTGCAATATATGGTCACTGTTCGCAATTTGGAGTGTAGATCCGTCAGGTTTAGATCCGATACCTTTCAAATAATTTCAAATCTCAAAAAAAACGGAAGTTCATGTCTGATAGTGGTATCACCAAGGGGCAGTACTGGAACAAAAGAAACTGCGGGCATGAACGTGTTTTTTTCTATCAAAGCAGTGAGTTTTTTTTTCGGGATAAACCGTTCATTGAAACTATGGCAGCCAATCTAATGACAAGTGGTCCCTGTCAGTTGAAATTAACGATTGAGGGTTCTGAACGTAACAGCAGGCATAAACTCGGCTCAATTGACACTGACCTTAAGTACCCATGCAACAATAGACACCGGCAACAGAATGCCAAGTAATGACAACTTTCGCACCTGTATATGCAAGCACATCACCCCTATAGACACATGTTGGCCCATTTTGAGATATTTTGAGACATTTTGAGACATCTTGAAAAAATTGGAGCAATTTTCAGCAACTTTGAGCAATTTGGAGCAGTTTTTGTCGGACCAGTGTGGGTCATTTCGAGCAATTTTGAGCATTTTTGTCGGGCAAGTTTGGGTCATGTCGAGCAATTCGGAACAGTTTTTGGAAACACGATATGGCATTGTCGACTTCGGACAGTGTTCAAAATGTCTCAATTGAGGCTTCTTTGGGACATCATACTTTGGCCGAAAAAGGTACCTGATATAAACCCCACGGATCTAGACCCTAAAACAAGATCAGTGATATGGTAATGGACAGACGGGGAAGTACAAAAGGACATGGCTGAAAAAAATCGCTCCTGTGGTTCTTTGTTTGCTGTGGATAAGCAAGTCACAACGGTCACATTGGTTGCCGAGTCTTTCAGCAGATGCGATTTCTACCGGTCCGGCGCCATAGTTTAGCATGGTCTCGGTCAAAGCCATTTCGCTTGCTTCCAGCAGGGGCTTGGAGGATAAGGCAGCAACAGCTGTTCCCCAAAGTTTTCCAAAATTCTCCTCTGGCAGAAGCTGTTTGTCATGCAATGGGCTGGGCAATTCAGCCATATTCAACCCTGTAAGTTGTTTTGTTTGACATGAATGCGCCATGCCAATCGTGGGATGCTGAGCCGCGAGCGTGGCCAGGGCACAGATTCAAGAAATGGCTTGTCTCAAAGTGCCTCATTCTCCCCTTACATTTCTATGCTTGTCTCGACCTTGGTGGCAGACTGACGGGACTGATGCTTCTATAAATGATTTTAAATGTGGCTAATATATGCTATATAACTAATACTTGCTAATATATGGGAGGAATTGTTGCTGAGCTAGTTTGCCAGATATGCAAAACCAGATCGAATGGTTTCTTGACTTCTTTCGACCAAGGCAAACATATTAATACAGGAGACCAGGAGACCCGCCAACGAGAGACCATGAGCAACCTAGGCACAGAACTCTTCAAGTTCGAGCACAGCACTCAGAAACGTGTAAGTAAGCATCATGTGGCACAGTCATGCACAATCAGCCAGATGCCCAGCGTGTCAGAAAGTTGGTTGACATTGGTTGCGTGTGTATCATCGTGTATCACGTTTTTGCGTGTGATTCTTCGATAGGGACACAGGTGATGAGCAGCTTTGAGCAGTACTTTTTGAGAAGCAGCGAGTGCAATTCCTGGTTTTAAGGTAGCACTTCCCAGGAAGTCACGTACTCTCCTCAGAAACGGTTTACGGTGAGTTGGGACATGAGGTGCTTTCATGATCTTTTATGTACATTCCATACCCAAGTTTGATGAACATCAAACACACCCACCCATGCCATGTATCCATATGCATCTATCATTTATCATGCAACATTCTGGAATTGTCCTGTATAGGCTTGTGAAAGCTGAAACCTAGTCCTAGTTTGCAGAAGGTTGGCGCAACATTTTGGCAAAAGTGTGGACAATTGAAATACACTTGGTTTCAACCAGAGAGCGGTAGGCCAAATGCACACAATACCAATCGCAGCGAAACATGCCAAAGCGTTGGTGATTTCAAATGTAGTACGTCAATACAATTATATATCATGCGCGTGCAAGATGCATAACATTAACGTTTACGTTCGTATACGCAATATCCCCCCATTAAGACTTCCTGATGATGATTCAAAATTGTCTTTCGTGGAGGTTGAAATCACGAAGCTGTAACTGGCAGGGTACGGGGAAGCATGCGACATGACCGTTACATGGTCTGAGGCGGTTGCAACAACAACAACAACAGCAACAGTTTTTGCCGCGGCCCTGGATTTCTTGTGACCTGTTCATCGGGATTCACCCCAGCTGATCTCCCCGTGATAAGTAAGGCCTTTCTAACCACCAACGACTAACAAGGGTATCTTAGCAATCTATATCCATCCATTATTTATTCTTATATTATTTTTCTGGAGGATGCGCCCTCGGGTTGAATCCACCTGGCCTGAGGGCATGAATGCCACGGAGAGTCAGTGACATACACACACTATACAAGAATGGATCATTATATGATCCGGCAGGAACTGAGTCCTGTGACATGCAGATTAGATTAGTTACTTAGATATGGATGAAAAATATATATATATGGGACTATGGTGACCACCAGCTGCGTCTTACAATTGCGCCCAGGTGCGTCACCACAGTCCCGCGGGTACGTTTACACGGGTCCCCGGGAGGTGTCTTCGATGGTCACCGACCTCCCAGGGACCCCGGTGACCCCCCGCATATATAAATATATAAAGTATAAGAAGTTTTACGTCTATTCAGACGGTACACACACACACCCTGCCTCCGGCAGGGTGGTGCGCGTAAACATGAGATGAAGATGAGGATGAACAGGGGATGAAAGATGAGATGAGAGTGAAAATGAGATGAAAGTTACTTAACCAGGACGCGAAGAGGGGAACGCAAAAGAAGAGGGAAGGAGAAAACACACACCAACACACCTAGCCCGGAACGGGCGAACCCTGAAAAGGCAAGGGAAAAGAAAAAGCGGAGGGTCGACGGACACGGACCAAGACCAACGGAGGGGGGGGAAGACGGAAGCGCCTGAACCAACCTGACACAGCGAAAACCTACAAAAACCTCAGCACGCGACGGAGCCAACCTACCTGGGGGGTGAAGGAAGCATGAGATAGGGGACCAATGGGGAACTAGTTGGTGAAAACAGAACCAAACAACAAACAGGATTCAGTCCCTAACTGCCTAAAAAGTCGTGCGATTATTGCCTGCACCGGGACCGTGGTCAAGTCGTGCCGCAATGGCATAAAACAGCTTCCAAGTTTCAACGAATTAGATGCACAATATGTTTCACCTCACCAAAAACCAAAGAGACCACACCTGCAGGAAAAGGACATGCCTGTTGCCTTTTGTCGTGAATGTCATGTTGAACTTCAAATGCGCAAGCTGCAGAGAAAAAAGGTTTCTGGTAGTTCGAAGTGGCTTCACTCAATAGAGATGCATTCACTGGGTTCATAAAGGACAGCCGGAAGCGCGGGACATCACAAAAGGTGCAAAACGGAAAGGCCAGCTGTTGCACATTACGTAAACGAATTACCAAATTAAAATGTGTGAATTCAGAGTTCAAGACTGTCAACACTCACCCTGAAAAGGGTTGCCTCCAATGGCTCCATGGCACCATGTCGGAGCCACCATGGAAATCACACTAGACAAGAATGGATCATTATATGATCCGGCAGGAACTGAGTCCTGTGACATGCAGATTAGATTAGTTACTTAGATATGGATGAAAAATATATATATATATGGGACTATGGTGACCACCAGCTGCGTCTTACAATTGCGCCCAGGTGCGTCACCACAGTCCCGCGGGTACGTTTACACGGGTCCCCGGGAGGTGTCTTCGATGGTCACCGACCTCCCAGGGACCCCGGTGACCCCCCGCATATATAAATATATAAAGTATAAGAAGTTTTACGTCTATTCAGACGGTACACACACACACACAGACACACACACACACACCAACATGAACAGCACGGGCTGTGCATCGGAAACAATATGTGTTACAGTATTTTTTTGAAGATAATGAACCATCATCGATCTACTCAATGGTTTATCACAAATGTACCCCAGTAGTATCCAGTATATAGTGGCCTTAAGATGACCTGCAGATGCCACCGAGGCATGACTTCCACGTCAACTTCCCTGCTTCGAGTGGTGTGGGCCTCGGTGGTGATATTTTTTTCTGCCCCCAGACCTGGGGTACAGCCCAAATTGCCATTCGTTACCCTCCGGCATTCAAAGGTGGCAATGGGAAATTTGTGATCAATGAAGGTCTTAATGAGAAAAAATGCAGAAATGCTGGATGTTCCATTGCTATGTGATTACCCAAGGGTATATAATAAGAACAGTGATGAAAAACTCATTGGATTTGGCGGTTTTTGCAACATGTTTGGACAAAGTGTGCTTTGAACTTAGTTTTTGCCATGGTCAAAACTTGTAAATTTTGCCCATTGTTAGAAGATGGTCATTAATAAATTCATGCGAGTAAATATGTGTCAAGCATTCCCATCATGCCATAGATGGCCATACCCCATGTTTTGACCGTGACCCAAAAAGTGTTGACCGTGGCCTGGCTGCAATTGGCCGCAGTTTCGCAGACTGAGGACCGGCACCACCAGGAGGTCCCAGACAGGTGCCCAAAGGCCCGCCGGGCGCATTGTCAGATCCTCAGATCCTCAGCCGCACGGCGCAACCACAGATCTTCAGGTTTCAATACACGTTGCAAAATATTGAAATCTCGCATCAAAAACCCTGAGGGAACATGTAGTGTTTAGGTTTTTGTTGATGTTTTTTTGGTCAATTCCTACCATGATTTCCAGCTTGGAGTTTCCTTTGAAAGTCGGTGCACGCACCTAGCAAGACGTAACTCGCTTAGCGCGTTTATCAGAAGGTGCGCAGTGTCAAGAAAGCCTTGACACATTGATACGTACCACCTGAAAGGAGGGGGAGAATCCGACGATTTAAATAAGTTAATGGTCGTGGCAGAACCCAACCCGGAAGGGCGAAAACTCCAAGGATCAATTAGTTGCACTGCTATGTTGCATTATGCTGCTATGCACTGCTTGTACCGTTGTGACAGGGAGCACTTACAGCAAAAACATCAAGCCCCTATTTGTTTCCATCAGAGGAACCATTTGGGATGCATCACTAATCTAATGTTTCTTCCTTTAGAATTGGGACATGTCCCATCCCAAACAGAGCATTGAACAAATCATACAATTCAAATCAAAGGGTGTATATCAACAAGAAGATGACAGAACCACTGAAACCAGATGTTTACGTGTACGTCAAGTGTTGCGGTCGGGACATGAGAATATTGAGTTATTTTTCTTGCTTCGGCCGCGGTTTTTCTCCCATAATATGTGGATACGCACACGTGCATATAAACGCGCACGTGTATATATAGGCTATTATAGGCGCACGTGTGCATATATATATATATGTATGTAATGTAATGTAATGTAATGTAATGTAATGTAATGTAATGTAATGTAATGTAATGTAATGTAATGTAATGTAATGTATGTAATGTATGTAATGTATGTAGTGTATGTAATGTATGTAATGTATGTAATGTATGTAATGTATGTAATGTATGTAATGTATGTAATGTATTTAATGTATGTAATGTATGTAATGTATGTAATGTATGTAATGTATGTAATGTATGTAATGTATGTAATGTATGTAATGTATGTAATGTATGTAATGTATGTAATGTATGTAATGTATGTAATGTATGTAATGTATGTAATGTATGTAATGTATGTATGTATGTATGTAATGTAATGTATGTATGTATGTATGCTATGCTATGCTATGGTATGGTATGGTATGTTATGTTATGTTATGTTATGTTATGTTATGTTATGTATGTTATGTATGTTATGTATGTTTTGTATGTTATGTATGTTATGTATGTTATGTATGTTATGTATGTTATGTATGTTATGTATGTTATGTATGTATGTATGTATGTATGGTAATGTATGGTAATGTAATGTAATGTAACGTAATGTAATGTAATGTATGTATCTATCTATCTATGTATGTATGTATGTATGTATGTATGTATGTATGTATGTAGTGTATGTATGTATGTTATGTATGTATGTATGTATGTAGTGTATGTATGTTATGTTATGTTATGTGATGTGATGTGATGTTATGTTATGTTATGTATGTATAATATAGATCAGCCGTTGTGATGCCGTTGTGATGCAACGAGTACCCTTTGCCGTTGTGATGCAACGAGTACCCTTTGGTACGCTCTCAAAGCAAGACTACTTGTATCATCTTGTATCATACGTACAAATGTGGTATATAATCGGTCTGAACATGTAATCACCCTCATTTCATACATGTTTTGTGTGTTGAAAGAGGCTTGCAGGATCAACCTCCGCCACTGAGGAATGCTGCCTACGCAGCTATGGAGACAGAGGTTGGGCATGGGTGGGGGGCGGAAACCACAGGCACACCCATGCAAACATCAGAATTGCGAGAACGTTCTGATTTGTTCCACTGGTTGCCATGAGGTTTTCTCTATGGATGTCGAGTTCCAGCCCAGGCCAAGAGAACAAATCCACCAAGCATGGAAGGTGGTCAGTGGCAAAGAGCTGAGTAAATTTCACCAACGTCGTCTATGAACCCTGCCTTGTAATGAACCCTGCCTTGGGTGGTTGATCTTCCAATGTCTATCAACCAAAGTGATCTTTCCTGGACCAGCAGAAGATTGGAGAGATTATAAAGGAATCAACATGTATGAGAAGAGCTCAATTATCAGAGCCAAAGCATGCCAAAACGTTGCAATCTTATGCAATCCAGAGTGATATTCAAAGGGAGTTTTAAGCAACCACGGGCGCATCACAGGCCTTCGAATCTTACAAGTTCATACAAAATCTTTAATGTGGATTCTTTCAGCACATTCACAGATCTGCAAGTTCCTGGCAAAAGAGATCAAAAGAGAAAACCGTTCCGATCATGCCATTTGCTTGGGATTCAGGCAAAGCTTGCCCAAGCAGCAGCCTTGCCCACCGCAGGTGTGGCCTCCAACTCTTTCACGATGGTTTTCAGATTTCAGATCATCCTCGCTTTGACAACCAACCGGGCAATGGAAAATCCCTGGTTCAATTGCCCGAGGGTAAAGATGCATAAATTAGGAGGTTTATTGTTTGCAAATGCGATGCCACCAATGTATATCTGTGCCAGTTGAAGTTTGCGTCTGCGAGTTCATCTGGCTGGGGCCCAAATGTTATTGGTTGCGTAGTCGTGTGTCTTCGCTTGCACAAGTGTTCACTAGATTTATGAGTCCAACAACACAGAGAATATAGGGTTTGACAAAAAAATAAAAAAGCAAAAAAAAAACAGAGCAAACAAAAAAAACAAACTAGAAAACCAAAACCAAGGAAAAAACAAGAAAAAAAAACTGCGGAAAATGCAGGTTTTGTTTTTTTGTTTGTTGTGTTCTTGTTTTTTTCTTGTCTTTTTTGTTTCTTCTGGTGATTCTTCCTGTCGATTTGTTTTTTTGGTGATTATGTTTTTGTTTTTGTTTTTGTTTTTTTGCTAAAATCCACTTTCTCTGTTCTACACGGGGCCATAACACTAGATTTTTCCTCATTCAAAGTGATAAATTTGGCACTTGTCCCATCATGATTGAATACCACCAGTCCCTCTGCGATGAGAGTGTCTTCAATCCTGCAAAGTGGCTTTGACTGCAGGGTACCCCCAAAACCAAATGGTTCATCATTATTTTCTGCACTTTGTCGTTTTGAATAAACCTTCGCCAATCGGAAGGTATCAGCATGCCGGAATCTCTCAGGTCAAGCTGCTCCTGTTGCAGTGCTAGCCTTGGTCCAGCATGGGAAATGTGTTTTCTTTGATCTTTTTTGTTGAGGCTTGGAGTGAGGGGACATGTTTCATCATGTTTCCAATTTATCATTGTTATCGCCATTGTTGGCATTGTTGTTCAGGTATCAGTATCAACCATTATTAATTACAAGTCATGTCACATCATTTACACGCACAATATAAATATATATATATATATATATTTATTTATTTAGAGGGAGGGATTCATTTGAAGAACATTTGTTATCGGACATGTTTGAATTTCAGACAAGGGCATCTATCCAGCCGCAGCATAAGGCTGAAGGCAGGGTCAAGGAAGGGTCGTCACCTCAGTGTTCAGGGTCCCTTGCCAACCCAAAGGGTTGGATGATGCAACTGAGCCGGATAAAGCATCAGATTTTATTGGGTGTACCCCGTTTTCAGCGAAAAGATATTGGCAAAACCCAACGGTGGGTCGTAGATTACATCCAAAATGACTTGGTTCGTTTGTCGGAGATTCAATGATGCAGGGTTTTGGTCCACAACCATTTGAGGAGACAACAACATGAACTTGCAAAAGAGGATGCAAGAAGGAGATATGCACCATGACATATATTTGACATTGACCCTCGCTAGGCTGCCAGCCTTGACTGGGACTTGAAAAGGCCATTCCCTGAATCCCAAACCCACCAGCTGTACATGGTTTTTGTTTTTCCCACTTTTCCCATAGGTGGGGATACATTATAACCAAGTAGAGCATCAAAAATTGGCAATGTTTCAACGTGTTCGAATCAGCCGTTCAGAAGCCGACCACTGATGTGATCTGAGGCATCCAAGCAAGGGTTCCGTAGGACACGACAAGGGAAATTGCAAGGAAACCCAGGTAGGAACGTGGGGATGTCGCCGTGCTGGAATGATTTCATGTTTGATGATTCTTGACACGTGTGTTTGTGATAATATGATAATATGCAGATCAAGATTGGACCACCACTGTCATCAAGTTCCGTATTCTTATTATAGATTAATTACAGTAGTCTTAGATGTCTTAGTATCAAATATTGGCAGCAAGGAACGGATTTAGATAGCACATTGTTTCATTTTGCATGATTTGATGCAGGCACTGCATGGCACTGCATGGCACTGCATCCCGATCTCATGAAGCCATTGGTGACTGAGGCCGGCCGTGCCACTACTTTCATTCACGGTTCGCAGCCCAGGGATGCCATGGGATGCCATGGCAGCCGAGATGCGGCGAGTGCTGAGGACTGGTTGTGCCAACGGAGATCAGTGCAACTTCTGCCACCTGAAACACCCGAAGAGGTGTTGCAACAGTCATGGTCGGGGTATCATAGTGGTATCATAGTGGTTAAAGTAAATCCTCACAAAGCATGAGCACAGCACCTTTCCTTATATATAATATTATATACATATTAATATATATATTATATACATTCATATATATATATATTATATAATATTATATGTATATACATATTATATACATTCATATATATATATTATATAATATTATGTATATATATATATTATATACATATTAATATATATATTATTTACATTCATATATATATATATTATATAATATTATATGTATATATATATATTATATACATTCATATATATATATATATATTATATAATATTATATATATATATTATATAATATTATATGTATATATATGTATATATATATTATACATATTAATATATATATTATATACATTCATATATATATATTATATAATATTATATGTATATATATATATATTATATACATTCATATATATATATATATTATAATATTATATGTATATATATATATATTATACATATTAATATATATATATTATATACATTCATATATATATATATATTATATAATATTATATGTATATATATATATTATATAATATTATATGTATATATATATGTATATATATATATTATACATATTAATATATATATATATATTATATACATTCATATATATATATATTATATAATATTATATGTATATATATATATATTATATACATTCATATATATATATTATATAATATTATATGTATATATATATATATATATTATACATATTAATATATATATATATATTATATACATTCATATATATATATATATATATATATTATATAATATTATATGTATATATATATATAGTATATACATTCATATATATATTTATATATTATATAATATTATATGTATATATATATTATATACATATTAATATATATATATTATTTACATTCATATATATATATATATTATATAATATTATATGTATATATATATTATATACATTCATATATATTTATACATACACATATGCAATTTCAAGACTAGCAGTGAAGCTAGCACTATCTATTCACAAATATATATCTTGACAGATCCTATGATATGTCTTCCACGTTTTCATCTACGTTTGGGACTTCATTCTTGTGTTGTCCCGGACATCTGTGGCCGTTTGCAACTCTCAGTTGTTTCAAGCCAGGTCCAGAGTTCGAATTCCCAAGCAGTATCGTCAGCAGTGCCGGGCGTTGGCCCAACTTGTTTACGATACCCAAGGATGTGACAAGGCAGGGTTCAGATGGTTCAGATGGTTCAGATGGTTCACTGGTCAGACTGGTCCTAAGGGATCCTAAGGGTCTGCAAATGTGTAAGCAGCGACGGTGCAGTCAAGTGACATCAATCAGTGGGATGGTTTGGGGATTCTCCGAAAACCTCTCATGTTTCGGGGATGTTTCCCTATCCCTCCACAGGAGATTCGGCAGGAGATGGAGTTGCAACTCTTGGTCCGGCCCTTTAGAAGCTGTTGAGAAATGGAGCGGTCTTAAAATGGCTGCATTCCAATGCATCATCACCATGTTTCCCCATAAAATATCCTCTTTGAATGATTTCCATTGGATTTGATTATCATCTCTTCTCATCATGTAAATGATAAATGGCATGTTTGCGGGAATTTTGGGGGTGTACGCCATGTTCAGACCCAATGCCTCCTGTTCCACGAACCTTCTCTCTCTTCTTTGTCTACAAGAAACATGCGACAACGGCATTCTTTGATTATGGTAACGCTGAGTCATCAGCCTTTGACAGCGTTGGATTATGTCGAGTACTTTAATCAAGACTGGTTGCGAAGGAAGGCCTTCCTCATTTATGAGGTTTACTAAAATGATGGTACCCCCAAATCATCCATTTTAATGGAATTTTCCATTATAGATCATCTAGCAATTGGGGTACCTCCATTTTTGGAAACCTTACCGTGATCTCGACGATCTGCCCAGATACAGACCAGTTTTGATCATCGACTTACTGCGCAGCTTGGCGAAAGTGGCCATAGGTCCTTTAAGGGCAACATGATTAAATCATGGGATGGAAAATGATGGAAAGAAACAGATTTTGGTTACCTTGTTTAAAGCCCAGAGGATTCAGGGTACCTATCTGCATAGTGGGGAAACAGTTAGAATGTGGTGGCAACCCAATAATTGGAGGGTCAAGTACAAGAGATGGATCAATTCTGCAGTTGAGGCTTAAATCATTGGGGATGCAACTTAGCCCATTGTAGATGCCATTGGTAAAAACCATTGGGCTCCATGTGATTAAAAAAAAAACATAAGCGTTTTCTCAGGTACGCCACATCAGTTCTTAAAAGCCTCCGTGGTGGAGCAGTTCTTCAGGACTTTCCACAGGCGCGTGAAAACGCTGCGTTTCAAAAATCGACCCACAGGATGATCGGATGCTAAGAATCTGGGTATACCAGAAACCTTGGTGAAGTATGGTGAAGTAGATAATTTATATTAATGTTATCGACTGATTAGTGTGAGGGCCCCCCCCCAAACAATTTTAGTCTACTCAATAACTGACATTTTTTTTGCGCCCCCCCCCTCAACATGTTTTTTGAATTGATTTCAATTTACTTTTCAATTGAAATCAATTTACTTTCAATTGATTTCAATTTAATTAATGAATTAATTACTTTCAATTGAAATCAATGATTTTCAATTGATTTCAATTTATTTTCAATTGATTTCAATTTACTTTTAATTGATTTCAATTTACTTTCAATTTGCTTTCAATTGATTTCAATTTACTTTTAATTGATTTCAATTTACTTGCAATTTACTTTCAATTGACTTCAATTTACTTTTAATTAATTGATTTCAATTTACTTGCAATTTACTTTCAATTGACTTCAATTTACTTTTAATTAATTGAGTTCAATTTACTTGCAATTTACTTTCAATTGACTTCAATTTACTTTTAATTAATTGAGTTCAATTTACTTGCAATTTACTTTCAATTGATTTCAATTTATTTTCAATTGATTTCAATTTACTTTCAAGGGTTTTGTTTTTTTCAAACCCAAAAGTTGTTGGGCACAATAGAGTACCACCCAAACATTCATATTATTGAGTAACTGAGCCACTCATGAGGTATCACCTTGAAAAATTGTCTGGAAGCTGTTTTTTAATAATGGTTTAATAAGGCATCTAATTATTTGGAAAACCTTGCGTTTTAAAGCTTTATCACAAATATGGTTTCCTAAAGTAAATGGACCAGCTTTACTCAAAGAAAGGTGGAGAAAGGGTTTTTGTTTTTTTTTTCAACCCCAAAAGTTTTTGCGCAATAGAGTACCATCCAAACATTCATATTATTGAGCAACTCAGCCACTCATGAGGTACACCCTTGAAAAATTGTTTGGATGCTGTTTTTTAATAAGGGTTTAATAAGGCATCTAATTATTTGGAGAACCTTGCATTTTAAAGCTTTATCACAAATATGGTTTCCTAAAGTAAATGGGCCAGCTTTACTCAACGAAAGGTGGAGAGAGGGTTTTTATTTTTTTCAACCCCAAAACTTGTTGTTGGGCACAATAGGGTATTATTGAGTATCTGAACCATTCATTGTTTTTTCAGACATCTAATTATTTGGAAAAGGTTGGATCTTCAAGCTTTAACACACATATGGCTTTCTAAAGTAAATGGGCCAGCTTTACTAAAAGAAAGGTGGAGAAATGGTTTTTGATTTTTTTCAGCCCCAAAAGTTGTTGGGCACAATAGGGTACCATCCAAACATTCATATTATTGAGTAACTCAGCCACTCATGGGGTACCACCTTAAAAAATTGTCTGGAAGCTGTTTTTTTAATGAGGGTTTTATAAGGCATCTAATTATTTGGAAAACCTTGCATTTTAAAGCTTTATCACAAATATGGTTTCCTAAAGTAAATGGACCAGCTTTACTCAAAGAAAGGTGGAGAAAGGGTTTTTATTTTTTTCAACCCCAAAAGTTGTTGGGCACAATAGGGTACCATCCAAACATTCATATTATTGAGTAACTCAGCCATTCATGGTTTTTCAGACATCTAATTATTTGGAAAACCTTGCATTTTAAAGCTTTAACACAAATATCTATTTCTAAAACAAATGGACCAGCTTTACTAAAGGAAAGGTGGAGAAAGGGTTTTTGTTTTTTTTCAACCCCAAAAGTTGCTGGGCACAATAGAGTACCATCCAAACATTCATATTATTGAGTAACTCAGCCACTCATGGGGTACCACCTTGAAAAATTGTCTGGAAGCTGTTTTTTTAATGAGGGTTTTATAAGGCATCTAATTATTTGGAAAACCTTGCATTTTAAAGCTTTATCACAACAGAAAAGGACGCTGTGCGCCCGTGCGTTTTGCACTGTTTTCCTTGCAGTGTTTTCCTCTCGCAGTGTTTTCACATCATCAAAGGGCCACAATAGGCCACAATATGCCCAAATATGCCAAAATAGGCCACAAAGGTCTAAATAAACAAAAAACAAAAAAAAACAAAAAAAACGAAAACACCAAAAAAAAACAAAGATTTCTAGAGACTGTAGGCATTGGGGGCATGTTTTTTTTTTTTTGTTTTTTTTGGTTTTCCGGCCTTCCCTCAGATCAATTTCTTCCTCCGGACTTCGTTGTGTCTGTTTCCACATTTCGGCATGAAGGAACCCTTCGTCAACAATAAAATTAGATTCTTAAGAGGGACCTCTCTGAACTAAAATCAAAGTTATTTTGTTTTTTTGGGTTGCCTGGGGTGGAAACCATTTTTTTTAATTTCTTAAACAGCAAGGCCTAATTTCCGATTTTCTGGAGGTGGTGGCTCTGTTTGTGTAGTTTTCTTCTGAGCAAGGAATACCACCCTCTTTTCAAAGGAATGAACAAATATAATATATTGCATCCTTTTCAAGGAAACTTGCATAAAGGCATGCTGCACTGTGGTCTCTGAAAGAATAACTGCTTATTGAAGAATACAGTACCCTTTCAAAATAATGCTATATTTCCTGCAAGGAACACTATACTTCTTCAAATGGCAATTCCATGCATTGCGCTTTATTACAGACACATCACCCTTTTTCAAAGGGATTGTTGTATATATGAAAGGGTTCCCTTTTGTACAACAACTTACTGTAAATCACACCATACTCAGCCATACTCTTTCACTAGGACTGCTGTGTGTCTTGAAGGCTACTTCTCAAAGAGATGATACATACTTTTGAAAGGAATATTGTGTGTAACTGTATATATTTATATATATAGTTAATAATATCATACAGTGAATTATGTTATTTGAAAATTATATTGTATTTTCCAAATGAATAATATTTTTTTCGAAGTAATATGACATAACACCGTTGTTTAAATCAAGATTTCATGAAACCATCAAGTACTGTCTGAAAGGAATGCCACTTTTCTGAAAAACACTACTGTATATGCTTATTTTATCTTAAGGAAGTGCTACCCTTCTCTAAAAGGACTACTACCTCTATGGAAGGAATTACATATGTTCATTAAAATGTATGGAAGACAGAACGCACTTGTTCTAAAGGAATGCTATGCACATCTCAGGGTCTTGCTTTACACTTTCTCAAAGGAATGTTGCTCCCTCTATAGAAGAATGTTGCATAGAGGCATGCCACAACTTCCTCAAGAAATGCCACATTCTTTCAAATTTTCAACGATGACTTATGAGAAGCATGCTGTGGCCCTTAGAATCTGAGTTGATGTTGTACCAGGGTTTAATAACACATTTTTTTTCAAAGGAACAATATGCTTACCCTTGCAAAACATTCCATATCTCTTTATGTAGGGAGCTCTGTCAGGAAGATGCAGTACTGCTTGGGGACAAAACGAAGTCTTCTGTCAATCAAAAGTGCTGGTTCCTCTTGTTCATGCTTGCTATAAAAACCTGCATTTGAGCATGGCGCAACAGGGCAAAATTGAATTTTCTCTCTGATATTCACTGGCTAAATGACATAGAACCGTTGATACCATTATTTAGTTTCTCGCTGTGCATGTGCAATATGTTTTGTTTCTTGTGACCCAGCTGGATGAAATTTTTGAGGTATGCATATATATATATATCATATAGATGAGATCTTGCAGCAACATCGCTGGCATATATATATATATGATATCTTGATGCAACATCAGTGAAAAAAACGCACTCTCACAGTCCCCCGCTCTCAAAAAAAATAAGTACTGTAGATCCAAGACTAAACCAGGGTTTCGTTTGGGGATTTGGGGATTGGATGATGTTTGGTGGGAATTGGCTTTGAGAATTCCCCAAAGCTGGCTGGAAAATTGGAGACTGGGAGTAGGTCCAAACCTATTATCCCAGCCAAGACCATTCTGCTCATTCTTGGGATGTGTGATGCCAGAGTTTTTTCTTTGGGTGTTGACCACAACCAAATGTGAAAACCACATGATGGCCACCTTGGTTGGATGATCTTCAGCCGGAGTGTGATGAATATGTGACAAGTCATGCGATACAACCTGCAGCAATGAGAACATGTCTTAAAACTCATTATGTAGGGACTTTGTCAAAACTAGTGATTTATATGGAAATTACACGGGCGTGGGGCGTCCCCCTCTCTATCACAAATATGGTTTCCTAAAGTACCAGCTTTACTCAAAGAAAGGTGGAGAAAGGGTTTTTGTGTTTTTTTTTCAACCCCAAAAGTTGTTGGGCACAATAGAGTACCATCCAAACATTCATATTATTGAGTAACTCAGCCACTCATGAGGTACACCCTTGAAAAATTGCTTGGATGTTGTTTTTTAATAAGGGTTTAAGAAAGCATCTAATTATTTGGAAAACCTTGCATTTGAAAGCTTTAATATAAAAAAATGAAAAACAGAAAAACATTTTTAAGTAACTAATTTAAAAATAAATTCAAAAAATAATTAATTAGGAACAATAAAAACAAATCTGGAAAAACATTTGCCACAATAGAGGCCCCCCCCCAAACAGCATGGAACTGAATAAGGAGGAAACTTTTTGCCACAATAGAGTACCATGCTACTAATCAGGTGCTAACATTATATACATTTATATATGCGAGTTAGTTTTGCGTTTTATATATCTGTCTTATATTTCAAAGGTAAAGTTCATAAATCACACAAGCCAGAAATGATCATTCGAGTAGGTCGAGTAGGGTTCTCTCCGAACATTTGTGCAGGGCTTGGCGCATGGCGATGACCAGGCCGGGAATACGCACACATATATATATATATAGTTATATAAAGTTATGTGTATCTATAGTATATATATATACTCACATCATTTTGTTTGTCATCAGTAATGTTCTTTTTGTATTGCTATTAATTAGCGTTGATGATAAGATATTTTGTGTTTTGGAAAGCCTCCAAAACTGCATTTTTCCGTGTTTTCCATTTTTCCTGGTGGCATGACAGCAGCAGAGCCTTTGGAACCTACCACGTCCTTGCTGCCTCCGGCGTGTCTCTGTTCCTTGTCGGAATGTCATGATCCATGATGATCCTCAATAGCTGATTTTGCGCCTGCCTTTGATACTTCTGCCAGTGGCCAATTGGTTATATTGGTTATCCAGACTTTACTTGTATAAAAAAGCAAGATATTTCCACAGCCAGATTCATCACGATCTCTTCCCTGTAATATCGCTACATAAATGATCATAAATGTATAGATGTAAAGTACCTCCAACATACCCCCCCAACACAACATATCCAGGACCGCGCCTGGGTTCCGGTGGGTTGTGAATCTATTTGATATATTTTGACATTATATCCACGCTGTGAGGCGAGAAAAGGCACCTGACTGCGCAAATGAAGCGCATCTGGAGCTGGGAAAGTCTGAATAGGATTCAGACCGTCCCCGGCCCAGACCCATGGTTGGAGGAGCTGGCTGTGGTAAAATGTTGATGTTTGCATACATGAGAGTCACTTTTTGTGCTGGGGTTGTCTCAAGAAAGGCCAACGAAAAGTCCAAATTCATCCAGAGAGTTCCACACTGGATTTGAGAGGTACCCCCTTTCTTTGAGGATTTTGAAGTCACACCATGTCATCCAGCCAACTGGCAAGTGAGTCTCACCATGCTCTTCAAAGAGGACTATTTGGGAAGAATGTACAGCATCATTTAGCATCATTGCCTGGGGGGAACCTTCTTGGATGTACATCCCAGAGTAAGTGGTTAATCCATCATCACTTGGGGATATTCTAGACATGACTGGCCATTCCATATGGGCTATTACCCAGTTCCCAACTGGGACGTATCCAAGTTGGTTCGGGCCTTCCAAGCCTTGCTGCACATTATGGTAGCCACCTATTTGCTGTGCATTGACCGACGGAGACCAGTGCCTCCAATCCGGTGGTGGCTTCAGAAAGACGTTTGCGACCGAAGCCAGTCACAGCTGACGTCATTTCTTTGTGCATCATGCCAGTTGAACATATGTTGCATTGATAATTTGATTGGGGGTAGGTGGGGGGGGGGCAGGGCGGACGTAAAATTCATGGCTGCAAGCCGTTTGGTTCTCACATGATTTGCATAAGCTGTCATAAGCCTGCAGAACACAAAAAACACAGAGTGTCACGGAGCACGTAATTCGCACTGATTTGCCAAGGTTTACAGGACGCTCAGAAATCAGTTCGAAATTCACAACTCATTTGGCAGCAACAACAATGACTCAAGCTCTCATCGCCCACTAGCAACCCTTTGTCTCAAGCCCACATTTCTAGCAAGAGTCTGTGCAAACAATTTGCCACAAAAATTGTTCCTTTCCTGCCTTGCTGTTTGGTCTGTTTGGATGCTGCAGCAAATATGGGTCGTGGCGCCTCGCCCAGTTCTCAGAGCAAGGTGAGGAGATGTGATCATGTAGACATCGCTAACCCATGGTAAGCTATGGATATTTGGTGCGCATATTAGCATGACTGGGTGACTAGTGATTAGTATAATTATTAAATTTCTAAACAAGAACCGCGGCAATTGGTTCCCTGCAAGGAGAGACTGTTTGATGTAGCAAAGGTGACGTGAGTTCATACGTATATATATATACCAACCAATACAGGAATATACAGGACAGATTGACTGTGATTAGATTTAATGTTGTTCCAACTGCGTACTTGAGGCATTTTTTGATTTAGTCCGCATTCAGTGATAAGAACTCCAGAGAAGGAAATTCAAAGGTCAATGGACAGCTGGATCGAAGTGTAATGAATTGTAGTTATGTAGTTTTTGTTCAAATCACGTCTCGTAACGCTCATTGGGTTGGGAGTCCATTTGAGGGTTTCCATAAATGGTACCCAATTGCTGGATGGTTAATGGAAAATCCCAATCTAAAATGGATGAGTTGGGGGTACCCCAATGGATCGGACTTGATGGAGGTAGTCCCTTGAGTACCCACGGCTTTGTCTCAAAATGGATAGGCCGAAACGATCATTGATAAATAATGGGAAATGATGGTAAATTACTATATAACTATATAAATCTCGGAAATTGAGGTATCCCCCACTTGTGAGGAAACAGATTGACCAATGGAATTGAAGGTTTGCCTATTTTCAGATGTTCCACACACCTTGAGGGAGCGATTCGCGTGACCCAAAAGCTGCCTGATGCCTAGGCAGAAAGGAGGGAGCGCCATCAAGAAGGCACCGTAGATTGATTGTTCATGAAATGATGTGACAGTGAACAAATTCTTTAGTGAAAAAACATGAACCATGCATGGGGGAGAGATGTTCGGAGCACATTGTTGGAGGCCCTACTTGAGAGTTTGATAGGTTTGCTGGCAGACCTGAGAGGACAAGAACCTGAAGATTTTGGAATCACAATTAATTAATCACAAAGCTGAATTTTCGGTCCCAAGCTGCTCCTCTTGGGACAGATTGTTTATGTTGCACGGCTGCAGTCCTACCCTTGAACAATAGAATCAGACGTTCACCGGACGCGATGGGCTGCTTGGATGCCAGGTGAACAACAAGCCGTCGAACAAACCACAGAAAACCAATGTCAAGCAGCAAAAGACCGCCCTGCGGAAGGACGAAACACATGCCTTTTTTTTAAGGGGGTCCCTAGTGGCTAGGTAGCTTGGAGATCTTTGGAGATGTTGCTTTCTGCTGGGCCGTGAGATGATTTCATTGTGTCCGATTTGTTTATTGAGTTTTAGTTGAACAAAGGATGTGCGAATACTTTGGTTTTAGCATGTTGGTCCGAATTTGGCACGTCCGGGGAAACAACGCAGGATGCCGCCTCTTTTTTGAAGCAGCGGTTGAATCAGAAGGCGCACAGTGATGAATTCATCAGTTCGATGTATTTATATATACATATATTACAGTAATATGTAAACACCATCAAATATCAATATTATCCAATATCGATATATGTATCTTATTAATATTAATCCTCACATATAATCAGAGATAATCTGATATATGGTATCATGTAATTATATACAAATATGTGTCAAGACCACTTGAATCCCCATGGTTTTTGTGTGCTCAGTAGCTTAGGTGAAGAACCTACGTGCGCCGCTGGAAGATGATGACATGGAGGGACTGGAGGAGACCAGCTAAACTGTGGGATTTAAAAGGTATTTCAATAGGTACTTTAATCCATTTAGACCAGCCACATGTCCAGTTAAGTATGATGTAAGCAACACCGATGGGGATTTATAGTATTATATATATATACATAACGTAGCTGTTTGCTTCGCTATATAAAGTATACAAACAAACAAGTACTGAGCCAACGGCCCTGGCTGGTTGTTTTCGGTATCAAATCAACCATTGTCGAGACTTGATGATTTTGACCCGATTGTTTGGAGGATAGACATCCTTTGAGAATAAACATCCATTTGCCAGCTGTTTTGATGTGCAAAGCAAGGAATCAGCGAGCAACGTGATACGCCTTTTGATGAATTGTAAAGTAATAATCTGAAAAAATTGTGTCATATCGATAGTACAATTGATAGCCTTTTGTATAATCATATAGTATATTATATATATACATATCCATCCATATCCATCCATATCCAGATATATCCATCCATATCGAGATATATCCATCCATATCCAGATATATCCATCCATATCCAGATATGCTCATCCATATCCAGATATATCCATCCATATCCATCCATATCCAGATATATCCATCCATATCCAGATATATCATCCATATCCATCCATATCCATCCATATCCAGATATATCCATCCATATCCAGATATATCCATATATCCATCCATATCCAGATATATCCATCCATATCCATCCATATCCATCCATATCCAGATATATCCATCCATATCCAGATATATCCATCCATATCCAGATATATCCATCCATATCCAGATATATCCATCCATATCCAGATATATCCATCCATATCCATCCATATCCATCCATATCCATCCATATCCAGATATCCAGATATATCCATCCATATCCATCCATATCCAGATATATCCAGATATATCCATCCATATCCAGATATATCCATCCATATCCATCCATATCCATCCATATCCAGATATATCCATCCATATCCAGATATATCCATCCATATCCATCCATATCCAGATATATCCATCCATATCCATCCATATCCAGATATATTCATCCATATCCAGATATATCCATCCATATCCAGATATATCCATCCATATCCATCCATATCCATCCATATCCAGATATATCCATCCATATCCATCCATATCCATCCATATCCAGATATATCCATCCATATCCATCCATATCCATCCATATCCATCCATATCCAGATATATCCATCCATATCCAGATATATCCATATATATCCAGATATATCCATCCATATCCATCCATATCCAGATATATCCATCCATATCCAGATATATCCATCCATATCCATCCATATCCATCCATATCCAGATATATCCATCCATATCCAGATATATCCATCCATATCCAGATATATCCATCCATATCCAGATATATCCATCCATATCCAGATATATCCATCCATATCCATATCCATCCATATCCATCCATATCCATCCATATCCATATCCATCCCATCCATATCCATCCATCCATCCATATCCATCCATATCCAGATATATCCCATCCATATATCCAGATATCCATCCATCCAGATATATCCATATATCCATCCATATCCATCCATATCCAGATATATCCATCCATATCCAGATATATCCATCCATATCCAGATATATCCATCCATATCCAGATATATCCATCCATATCCAGATATATCCATCCATATCCATCCATATCCAGATATATCCATCCATATCCATCCATATCCATCCATATCCAGATATACCCATCCATATCCATCCATATCCAGATATATCCATCCATATCCATCCATATCCAGATATATTCATCCATATCCAGATATATCCATCCATATCCAGATATATCCATCCATATCCAGATCCATATCCATCCATATCCAGATATATCCATCCATATCCAGATATATCCATCCATATCCATCCATATCCATCCATATCCAGATATATCCATCCATATCCAGATATATCCATCCATATCCAGATATATCCATCCATATCCAGATATATCCATCCATATCCAGATATATCCAGATATATCCATCCATATCCAGATATATCCATCCATATCCATCCATATCCACCCATATCCATCCATATCCAGATATATCCATCCATATCCATCCGTATCCATCCATATCCAGATATATCCATCCATATCCATCCATATCCAGATATATCCATCCATATCCAGATATATCCATCCATATCCATCCATATTCAGATATATCCGTATTCTTTGTTTGTTTCTATCGACCTCCTCTCGCCTTGCTTCGGCACAGGAGGGAAGCTGCGCAAGCGTTTCCTTGGAAGCGATCCAGGTGAACGCTTCTCGTCGTGGTGGCTCAGCTGCCAGG